TTGCTCTCCGTAATATTGTCAAGTCGGTGGTCTTCTCTCATGAGTTGATCTATGAACTTCTAGTGCCTCGGATTCGTCTGGTTCTTGTACATCATGCTCCAGTGTTGCTTTAGAAGAATTTGTATTATTTTCTACCTGAACAGCTACAGTCTTTGAGTGTTTCCTTAAACTGTCTTTTTTTCTTCACTTTACAGTTGGTTTTCTATAAAGATAACATCTCTGCTGATGATAACCTTACGGGCAGTGGGATCCCACAAGCGATACCCCTTTACTCCGTTAACTACCTTAAGAATATGTATTTTTTGAATTTTGAATCCAGCTTTGTAATTTCTTGAGCATTGTACATTATGTACGCTGGACTTTTAAATATATGGAGGTTAGAATAATTAGCTGGCTTGTCGGTCCACATCTTTATCGGCGTCTTTAACTGTATTACAGTTGATGGAGATCGATTTATCACATAGCAGGCGATTTTTACTTTTTTCGCCCAAAAGTCTTTATCCAGATTTGCAGTTACCAACGTTGCTCTTATTCTTGCCAATAGAATTTTGTCCATCCGATCCGCCATTCCATTTTATTGAGGAGTATAAGCAGTACTAAATTGTCTTTTGATGCCTTCTTGCTTGCAGAATGTAAAAAATTCACCGTCTGTGTATTCTCCTCTATTATCTGACCTCAAGCACTTGATCTTCTTTTCAGATTCAAGCTCGACTCACGCTTTGTAGGCTTTAAAGATTGAGAACACATTCGCCTTCTTCTTGATAGGATACACCTGACATCTCTGGAGTAATCATCAATAAAGGATACAAAGTACTTTGCTTCTCCCATGGATGTAACTGGTACTTTCCATACATAAGAATGAACTAGTTCTAGAATAGCCTTGCTTCTAGAATTCAATGTGTTGAAATTCAGCCGATGCTGCTTACTTGTAACACAATGTTCGCAGAATAGAAGAGCTATCGAAACAAGTTTAGAAAGTAGCTTCTGATCGGAGAGAATATTCAAGCCTTGTTCTGACATGTGGCCTAGTTTGCGATGTCACATCATGGTTTGTTCTTCTTCATGGCTAGTTGATGCCACACATAAATCAGCTTCCTGCAAGGTTTTTCCCTTGGGCATGCATAGATTTTTAGCTATCTTTTATCCTTTTATCACAACAAACGCCCCTCTAATAATCTTCATGATCCTGTTTTCTATATAGGTCTTGCACCCGAGCTCATCTAATTGTCCTAAAGACAATAGATTCTTCTTTAAGCCCTTCACATATCGCACATCTTGAATGGTGCGTATTGTACCATCAAATATTTTAATTTTGATAGTGTCAATACCAGAAATTTCCAAGGCATGATCATTGCCCATGAATACTGATCCTATTAAGATAAGTTTATATTTGTGAAACCATTCTCTCTTGAAGGTCATGTGCCTGGAGGCTACTGAATCTAGAAGCCAGACATCTGCAAACTTCTTTCTGCCTTCATCAATAGTGGTTCCACTGCATAAAATTTTATCATTGTCTGATGTGTTGAAAATGCATCATTGAGATGTTGATTGCTCTAAAGATTTTTTACCACCACTCTTCTTATTGTGCCAACACTCTGATTTCACATGCCTCCTTTTGTCACAGTTATAACATTTGATATTCTTCTTACTTCTTGATTTTGATATCATGTGTATGACTCCCACTGGAGTCACGTTCCGTTGATCTCCCTCTCGTTATTGATAAGTCTGCTTGCTGCGAACTTTTCTTCATGTCTTCCTTTTTCTTACGTTGATTTTCTTCTCCCAAAACAGCGGCTGTAACGTTGTCGAAGACTAGATTGTCCGTAAGGATGTTGCTTGTGAGATTGATAATGAGCTGATCATATGAGTCAGGTAGACTCTAAAGTAGAAGTTTTGCACGTTCATTCACACCGATTGTATGCCTCAACGTTGTGAGTTAGGAGAACAGTGTATTTAGGGTGTTGATGTGGTCGGTCATCGATGTAGATTCTGCCATCCTTAGAGTGTAAAGTCTTATTTTTAAGAAGATTTTGTTGTGCAGGAATTTTGCCTCATATAGTTTCGTTAGAGTATTCTAGATCTCCTTTGCTGTCTTCTTCTCCTTTATGCTTGAGAGCACCCCATCTGCTAATGCCAGATGGAGATTAGCAATAGCATTCTAGTCCATCTCGTTCTACTTATTATCATCTGTGATGTCATCTGGCCTTGCACTGATGGTCGGTAGACAATTATTTTTTCTCAATATAGCCTTTATCTTTAATTTCCAGAGTGAGAAATTACTCTCGTTGAATTTCTCAATCTCAAACTTCGCTTCCATTGCTTTTACCACAAATGGTAACTTATACTATTTCACGTAAATAGTAACTTTTTTATGAACAGTAATCATATTTGTAAATAGTATTGTACTTGTGAATAGTACCGTATTTACGAACAGTACCGTACTCGTGAATACTACTCGTCGTCTTCAAAGGATAAATGATAATCTAACTTATTTTCAGATATGGAGGATCCACCTTTGGCAGCAGCCACACGACATACGATAAGTAGATATACGCACCTTAAGGTAGGCTCTGATGCTACTTGTTGGGACAAACTCGGGGCCCAATAAAGCAATGTCCCAGCGAATAGTAGAGCAGAAGTAATGAAATGAATATATATTTACATGGAAAACTCTCTAAATGAATTTGGAGTAAAAACACGGTCAATGATAGAAAAATCCACTATGAGGAAAATTTAGGAGTTAAAATATCTCTTATTAAGGAGAATCTCTCTCTATTTTTCTCAGTTTCTCTCTCCCTCTCTCTTTCTTTTCATTCTTAATTGGAGATACTGGGATGATCAGAACTTAACGCCAGAGAGAGCTATATATAGGTGAGTTTGTGGTAGGTGCGTACTGGTGCTACAATATTGCTACAGTTAACTGTAGCTGGCAGGTGTTTACTGTAGACACAGTAACTTTCTATCAAAGCGGCAAAGCGGCAGATTCTTCCCATCTACTAAGTGAGAAGATACGTTACCCTTATGGTGTCTTATTATGTTAGTGTGAGGTTCTTATTCAGGTAGTTAAGTTGTGTGTGTTTGAAGGTGTGTGTGCACACACGCTGACGTGTGTTTTCATGGGGGTTGGTGCTTGGAGTGAGGTGCTAAGGACAAGCCCGCCATCCTAGTTCTATGCCTGCCTTTGAGCTTATATGGAGTCTGTGCATTTATTGTGAATGATTCTAAGGAACATGAAAATATAACATCATTATTATTACTTCTTTCATGTAAAGATTGTTGAGTTGTCATTTATTTCCTCTCAGGCTTGTCAATTTGTGCTCTCTCTTTTATTTTCCACAAGGAGCTACATTAGGGGGAACACTATGGCTTGACATGTGAAGCAGCCTGTCCTTACACTTATACAACTTTTCTTCTCTTTTTAGAAATGGCCACTACAATTATATATTTGTTGCATTTTCAATTAAGTGTTATACTACTCTTATTACCTATTTTTTTTGTCTGGACAGTACCTTATCATGTTCATGCTTCATAGGCTCATAGCCTGAAAGATGGACCAAGGACAAAAGCCACTCTACTTATATATTGTGTCTACTTCTTTTGGTCATGGAATTTTAGTTTTGCTCTTGTCTTCAGGATGAGTAATGTACATGCATTCTTTCTGTCAAGGATTCTACTGATTACCTATTGTATCAGGCCAAAATAATTTTGTTGGATGTCTCTGTTTACTTTGATAAACCGGTGCTATTCTCAATGACAATCCTATTTTTCTGTGTCCTTTTCCCCTTTCAAAATATCTAATGCTACTGAAGTTTTTTCGTCTTCTAAAAGAATAGAGAGAGTATTTCATTTTTCCAATGTAATGATTTACTTGTCTCTGATATTCTTTTATGCTCTTCATACATGCATATAGGTGGTTCAGTTTATTAGTCTTTTACTGCTGAAACAGAGCAAATAATTTCATATTTTGGTAACTCGTATGTATAGCTTTCTTCGTCTCTGTTGGCTAGAAGAAAATTTGTCATTTGTACGATTCATGAAGTAAATTTCACTAAAACCCTAATAAGTGTGGGCCTATTGCAAAAATCCCTAAAAAGTTTAGATCTAAGTAAACCCCAACAAGTTTGGGTATTTCATAAAACCCCCAAAACATTTTGTTTGTTTGCATGCAAACCCCGATGACTAAATGGTGTTTATGTGATATTCTCTATTTGAGAACTCAAAATATAGTCTTACATCAGGGGTTTATGTAAAACATCAAAACTTTTTGAGGGTTAATGTAAAACATCAATAACTTCTTGAGGGTTTTCTGAAATTTCCAAACTTTTTGGGGTAAATGCCTAAGGCCCAAACTTATTGGTGGTGTAATGAAATATATACCCTTTTTCTTAGTCTTGACATTGTTTTGTTGCAATGTGGGGAGGACTACGGTTTTCTTTTCTTGTGTAGCTTCATACTTTTAAATCTGATCGGTTTTTTGTTTTGTTTTGTAGCTTCCTGTAAGAAAGACAACGGAATAAGCTGATGACATGATGTGTATGTTTTAGGTCAAAGAGAGTATTCTGTAACTGAATTTGCAATTCCCTTGTAGATTGACAGTTATGTAATAGAAGAAATATGTGCAAAGTTACTATCTACATTCTGGATAGTAGAAGGGGAAGACGAAGAGAGAACAAAAGAACGTTACCTTTGGAAAATGAAATTATTGCTGATCAGATACTTCATGAGGGTAATAGTTGTTATATTTGTCAAGTCATCTGAACACAGATGACTTGTCTTCATTGATCACCTTCATTATTTTTACGTGTTTATTACTTTTGACCTGCAAAGAGAATTTTGGAGGTTCCTTTTGTAGCATTTTTATTTCCTGGTAATATTTTTTCACACTTTTCTCTTTCAATTTATTCGATCGTGTGCAAAATTTTTACTAGGTTCTCTTTCTCAATAACTAACCACTAGTTTCTCTTTCCCAATAACTAACCTATTGGTTGCTTTTTGAGCAGGGCTTTCGAAAGGTGGATCCAGATAAATGGGAGTTTGCAAACGAACGATTCCTCAGGGGTCAAAAGCATCTTCTCAAAACTATAAGAAGAAGAAAGGCACCCCCTAATCCACCTCATCAACTTCAATCCCTCGGTTCAAGCCTAGAAATTGGAAGATATGCATTAGATGGAGAAATTGGCGGGCTTAAGAGAGACAAAAACATACTGATGAACGAGGTTATAAAGCTAAGGCAAGAGCAACAGAACACTAGAGCTCATCTCCAAGCCATGGAAGAGAGGCTAAAAGGAACCGAGCAGAAGCAACAACAGATGATGACTTTCTTGGCGAAAGCAATGCAAAACCCTAACTTGCTGCAGCAATTTGCTCAGAAGGAGCAGCACAGGAAAGAGCTGGAAGAAGCTATTAACAAGAAAAGAAGAAGACGGATAGAGTTCAGGCCTGATGATGTTGAGCCGGTACTTGAGCTTGAAGGCGAGGGACTAAAAGATTTGTATCAGTTTGAAGGTTCTGAGTTAGAGAGCTTGACTATTGGACGTGAGGCTTTGGAGAATGATGGGGAAGTTATAGAAGACGTTGAAGAGGAAAGTGGAGAGCTTAATGATGATTTTTGGGAGGAGCTGCTGAATGAAGGAATAGGGAGAGACTAGGAGCCATTAGCTTTAATACTCCTGAGGAGACATTTCCATCATCTTATTCAGTTATACTTTCGTTTCTTGTTGGGATGATGCCTGCTATTTCCATTTTAATGATACTATCATGCTTATATGAAACTTTTCTTATTCCCCCCTTTCTGCAGGAATGAGGAATCATGAGGGTAGAATTGTGGAACAAAGGAGAGAGAAACCGAGCATATATCCTTCCGTCACATGATCACTTTTAGTTTCTGAATTACTTTTTTTTTAAGTTTGGAGTAATCCATTATTTGCAGAAATTGGCCTTGTCTGAAATTTGTCTAATACCTGTTTTTTAGCAGATCAGAAGTCCATTGCGGAGGTTAACTTTAACAGTTGGCTGATTGATTTAATTTGAGGTACTTAATCTTTATTACTATATCATTTGTTATCGTTCATTTTCCTTCAAGTTTTGATTGCTGCGAGTAATTGCGCAACAATTTCTTCATGTCTGTTTGTTTCTCTGGAGGACGCATGGTGCTCTTATTACCGTGCTAGCATGGATAGCTTCTAATTGAAGTATTATCAAGTACGTGGGGAGGGATATGTGATGAAGCCGAGGCTGCTCTTTGCCGTCATAAGATCTAGTTTGGACTATTTTTTCGTATTGAAGCCAAGGGAGAAGTGTGTGGGACAACCGATGGACAATCATTTACAATTTTACATTGAACGCATGAAGTTTAGTAATATAGATATAGTGATTACCTGGATTATTTGCAAAAATTTTCAATGTTAATGAGATACGGGTCTCCCTTTTCTTTCTACCTGGTGGTGGTTGAGATTTGAGTATAGATGAATGAATAGTTTAGATGAAGTTGCCTCTGGTATTTCCTATGCTCAGGTTCTGGTTTAACATATCAGGTGATATTTTCCTCCAAAATACGAGATGATTTTTCCCCCTGATCTGGGTACATTTTGGTTTTGGGACTTAAAACCAAACGTGATACTTTCTTCCTTCTTGTAGCTGATGCCAACCTGATGAGTTGAAACGTGGGACTAAAGCATCAACTTTCATGTGGTTTGATGGTTTTCATTATTTCAGTCTCTGAGCCTTTGGGTAACGTGCCATGGCAGTTATGGAATTATTTGGGGATATATTTTGAAGTTCCATTCTATGAGCTGGAATGTCTATGGTTATCGTTGGCCAGTTTTTTTTTTCTTTTCCGTATTCATTCAAGTAACTCATTTAACTCGGACTAACGTGTATTCTCCTTGTTGCCTATTCAAATTTGATTTCGATTTCTCTGGTTTCTACATTTACCTGTCTTATTGCATCCTTAATTTCGGCATGATGTAATGACATTTTCAGGGGAAGTTCTTACCTACACGTGGGGTAGGCAAGATGCGTACATCCCTCCAATAGGAAGGGGTCATATGGCACTGAAGGAGAGAATGTGACATCACATTTTCTCCTATAGT